AAATATTTGTTTACGTTATTAACGCATGGGTAATGAGAGATAATGTCTGCGTTGGACCGACTGCTCATGCTGAGCTAACAAAAGAGTATTTTTTGGCGTCAGCTCCACGTCAACTTTCCGCTGACGCCCAGATAAGGCGCTAGTTCTAAGAAACCAGGCCTTGAGCTAACAAAACAGTATTTTATTCAGCGGGACGTTGACGTCACGCTGACGCTCAGATAAGGCGCTTGTCCTAAGAAACCAGACCTTAACATTCACAGCTTTTAACTGTTGTGACTTTTAACACAAAAGCTAATTATCAGAGTAATAAAAGTAATTCTAAAATATTAAACATTTTTAAAACTGAACTTTTATAATAAATTACAATATTTAAAAAAAAAAAAAAAAACTCAATGAATTTAGTTTCGTAATGTGGGTGAGGATATTCATTAAAGGAAAAACAAATAAAATTACCTCAAATTTAGAATTTTCCATAAAATTTCCAAAGTCTTCATCATCACTTATTTCAGTATACTCATGGTCAGGTAAGACCCCCTCTTTGCTATTTCTCTTTGGAGGTGGATCAAGGAGCGTAATAGGAGGCTGATCGTTCATCATTTCTGACCAATTATCTAGAACAAGTTTCACTGTAATTATTAAAATGGAAGGGAGGCCTGCAACATCTACACCCAAATTAACTTACATAAAAGTAAGATATGTCAAAATACAGATACAGAAGCCCCGTGGCAGAATTTTTTCGGGCTATCTGCAACAAAACTGTCTGTAAGATACCTTTAATAATAACAAGCATATATGCAACAAATTTAAAATAACAAAAGCCCTGTGCTTACAAAAAAAAAAGGAATTCTTTTTAATTGAACATGTAATAAATTTTTATTCTGATATTATGGGTGATATTCTCCCATATTGTTGGGGCGGGGAGATATAATGTACAAATTTTTTCTTTCTTTGCATTTTGTAAATAATCATTAAGATAAAAAAAAAATTAAAATTCATAAAATCTGTTGCCGAAAAAAGATCAATGACGAATCAGACTCCTCAAAAAGGGGTTACTCAAATGCATAGTAAATAATATCATACAAAAAAATATCGCATTTAAAAACTATTGGGAAATCAATAGCAATAACTGCCAAAATTCGATAGAATCATTACCCTAAAAAGTAAATACTCAAATGCACGATTCAAATTTTCTAAATTTTTTGAAATATATTGGGATATTTAAAAACCATGTGAAAACCAATATCAATAACTGCCGAAAATACAATTGAAACATTACATCGATTTAAGACACTATCGGCGTAAAAAAGTGATTATCTAAATGCATGCTTCAAATATTACATGTAAATTTCTGTAGAAAAGAAAACTTAAATTTTTAGTTTTCAAAAGAAAAAAATCTTTCTGCTAACTTTAACATTCTGCAACAACAGAGCCGCGCCGCTGCGATTCTGCCACGGGTACAGAAGTATGATTCAAAGTGAAAAAAGATTTTTTTTTTTTTAAAAAATAAAGTAAAATCACTAGCTTTAACAATTAATTATTCACATGAAAAAAAAGTATTTAATATAGAACTCAATATATTTAAGCTACAAAGCTATTCGATATATTAAGCTACAAAACAGCTCAGCAATAGTTTCAAAAACACAATTAAAAAAAAGAACTATTAAATTTCACACTATTAATCTATTGTATGTTATAAAAATGATCTTTTGAATACATATTTGAAATAATACTCACAAATATCTGATGTTTTTTCATTTCAAAAAACTTTAAAAAGTGTTTTATGAATGTAATAAACTATATAAAATAAAAAAATATATATAAAAAAAAAACAGTAAAAGATATACTTAACACAATTCTACAAATTGCAATTCTCTATAAACAGCATTAACATAACAATCTCAAAAGCAAACCAAAATTGACATATTTGTCAGCGTTTATCTCTACTATTGGTAATTTAAGTTTTTTCTATAAATAAGAAATGCTTTAGTGTGCATTTTTGCATTTTAAGCAATTTATGTTCTAAAAAAAATATTCTAAAGCCTTAATATTGAATAGCCTGTTGCAGATATGTCTTACCAAACAAACTTAATAATATGAGAAGTGATCTAAATAATATAAAATTCTATATAATGCAAAGTCTAGTGTTTCAATGTTAGAGGTTTAAAGATCTTCAACTGTAAGGGAAAAAAAAGTTATAATTTGATGTTTAACTCATTTTTGGCCAAAGGTGCGTAAACGCACCATTTCAATAAATGTTTTTTTATTAACACCCTGATATATAAATTTTACTAATTTTATTTTCTGCTATTGTCAAGGGTTTTGAAGACATCTATAAAATAATTTCGGTAATTACAACTACAGATTCTAAAATTTATAATGATTTTTTTTTAATGTGAAGAGGATATGCAAAATGGGTAAAAAGGGAATAATTTTTGTGTTTCCCCCATAAAATGCGAGAACATGACCTATAATATTAGAATAAAAACATATTGTATATTCAATTTAAAAAAAATATTTTATTTTATCCGAAAGTATTATTATTATTATTTTTTTTTTTGAAGTAGACGCTTCTGTTACTTTAAATTAGTAACATGTGTATTTGTTACTATTAAAAATATCTAGTAGAAAGATATTAGTACTGGAGAGGTATGTAGTAGAAAGTCTGAAAAAATTCTGCCACAGGGCCAACATAAAAAGAATTCATTACCTGTAAAACAAACTTATCACAAAAAAGAGAGAACTATTTTTACCAGACGAAGATCCACTCCTTCCGTCTGATGTGCTGAACTTCTTGAGAAGAGGGATCTTATCTGAAGAGTCAGTAGACAGAGTGGTTAGCGTAGGACTCACATTCTCTTTGTCATCCTGGGGCTTATCTATTTAATAAGAATCTTAATTACAATTCAAACTATACATTTCAATTACAAATCCCTTCTGTTCTATACAGGGCGTGTAGTCAAATTTTTCAATAAAAAATAAGCACCTTTTAAGCACTCAAAAAATATTTTTAATCATTATATACACTAACAAAATGCAAAATAATTTTCAAAGACTTTACAAGATCATTTATAGTTAACACATATATAACATTTAAATTTAAAAAAAAATCTTATTGTGACCGCAAAGTATGTAGGCCCTCTCGATATAACAATCCCTCTACAACAGTATATTTATTTAATTCCTAAAATATTGTTGTAGCGAGGTTCTACTGTAAATCAAAAAATAAAAGATTCAGAATTTTTTTTTCTTACATGGAGTAACTATTTGCCTTGGAAGTTGGTGATATTTATCACCTAAAAACGATATGTCACCAAAAAATGCTCCGTCTAACCCAACATGACCAGTGTGCTTGAAATCTCCTTGGGGACGAGAAATCATATCAGTTTTCAACCTAAAAAAAATAAAAATAAATAAATAATAGTTAATGAATTGCTTACAATCAATTTTTAATTCCAAACAAGCTGTCCCACTGTAACTTTTTTTAAACCAGATATTACAAGAAAAAGGGGTCATCCACCGACTAGTTGGCTGGACGCAGTTGAGAAGGATCTAAAGATAATAGGAATAACTAACTGGAAGGCCATGGCACAGAATAGATGGCAAAAACTTATTGTGATGGCCTTGGCCTGTCATACGCTATAGTGAACAGGAAGTTTTAGTAGTAAGTGAGCAACAAAGTTTTTTTTAATAGGGCAGAGATTCAACTAAAGAGGTTGGAATCTGCTGATATAGAGCTAATGAGGCAACTTTAACTTTATTTTCCTGGGCTTGAGCATCGAGTCCTTTAAAATGAACTCTTATGGAAAAAATTATGCAGCTCTTATGTAGGGTTGCCACTCAAATCTGGAAAAAAAATTCCCTGTGTTGTCCCTGTACATATTATACACAATATATTAAGAGAAAACACAACAATTCCTGTGCTCTTCTGTGAGCTATATAGGGCAAACTATATTTATTAGTTTTAATTGCTGGAAAAACTTAGAGAGAAAAAAGTAACAGCCGAACAAACTTAAATAATGCTTTTTTCATTAAATAGTTTAGTTTAGCTGAAATATCATCCTTAAATATCCCACAGATTATGATTTGAGTGGTCACCATTTTTTAAAACGCGAGAATAAGAAATAAAATTCTCTGTATTTTTCCCAGTTCGTAAAGAATGCTATTTTAGATGATTTTTAAATTCCCTGTATTTTTTAGGCTTTCTCTGTTCTCCCCCTGTGGAGTGACAACCCTGACATATCTGCGTCACAATAGCAAAATAAGAAGAATGAAACATTCACCTTCTTCGACTGGCATAGAGGCCGCATTTGGAATCTGCCCTTGAGAAACTTGGCCTGTGAGTGGGAAAATTTGTAAGGTAGGCAACAGTGTGAGCAGGATTGAAGAGCCCTGTTTTCCCATTGATTAAAACACCCTTCCAGATGTTGATGCTGTCAGGTAAAGGTCTGAAAAACAAATTTCCAATTAGATGAAATTTAGAAAGAATATAAACATATTTTTAAGTATGATTTTCAACTAAGACATGGATCCACAACATTTTTGAATAGCAAGCCACAAAAATTAGAAATAACATGGAGCTGTAATTATCAGGGGTGATTGTGAACCTGACTTAAAAATCCTGTAAATTTATTGAGTAAAATCATTAACAAAGCATTTAAAAAAATTGCTGTCTTTATAAATTTAAATCATTGATATTTTCAAAACATGAAATTCAAATAAATTATATGGAGCATAATTTAAATGAATACTTTTATCTCTAATCACATTTATTATTCTACCAGAAAAAATATTTACAAATGAAAGAGATTCCAAGCATAAATTCCAATTCTAATATTTTTACACATAAATGCGATTGATGATTTCTTGAAAGTTCCGAATCCGGATTTTTTCTGGAGCTCATCTCTGAATTATAAAAATGGTTGACTCCGATCTTGCTTGATAATAATATGATTGACTTACAAACGTTTAATCAATAAGAGTTCAGAGAAAAAAAAGTCAAATAAACAAATAAAATTATTTATATTAAATATATGTAGACAGTTATATAGATATAGATTGTAACAAGATTGCAAATCAAGTTAAAACAAAATTTATTGGTGCAAAGAAACAAATATAAAATTAATAAACATAATTTTTACAGAAACTAACTTTTATTATACCATTATTCATAACTGTAAAATACTGATAGAGGGGACCCTAATTTTGAGGAAAATCTCTGTGATGCCGAAAATAAAGATTACTTAGTAGAAAAAAGAAAGATAATTTATTTAGTTACTTTAATCAAACTCTGAAAATCCATCGGAACAAGAAAAAAAAAACAGAGCCATAGTCCAAAATAAAGGTCAATGCATTTTTATTTAGTTCATCAGTAACATCATTGTGTAACATTGTCAGTAACATAGATCTGACATTAACTTTTGCTAACTTGAAAATGCCCATCTTCGTTTTCATTTAATGCGTTGGATATACCACAATGCTTAAAAGAATTTCAATTGTCTTTTCAGAGACGGCTTCCCAAGGGGCTGACATAAAACCAATTACATCTTGCAGAATTGGGCCTTTTAAATTCCCGGCAAGGTTCTTTTGTTTGTTCCCAATGAAGGCTGCCCATTCTCTTCGCAATGCAATTTTCCATGCACGAAACATCTACAAAAGCCTTGTGCACTTTGCAGGAATCAAAACTATATCTGTGTCCAGATTTGTTAAATATTTCTGAGAGATTTTAGGTTCTAAAATTTGAAGCCCAATCCAAGATAATTAACCTCCGAACATCATCCTCATTTGGATAAATTCTTGTTAACCAATTTTCTATAGGGCAAGCCGTCATCATACTTGCCAACATTGGAGAAATAAAATAATGGAGATTTTACTAACCGACCCAATTTCGGGTTAACGACTATGTTCAACTCTGTAGCCTTGTAATTTTGAATCCAATCCAGGGAGCTCCTGGATCAAGTATTGGGCGAAATTTGCCTCCATGGAGGACTTTTTTATGGAACTAACCTGCATGGAGAGGAAGACCACGAGAAACTCCCACGGTTAGTCTGACGGGAAGGCTATTCTAATCCATGATTGATCTCCCACTGAGGATATTTCACGTCAGCACTCTGGACGTGGAATTTATATCGATCAGTCATCACTGTTATTTGAACCTAGGTTCACCTCATTGGAAGGCAAACACTCTATCCCCTGAGTCTTCATAACTTGATTTCAACTATTCTGATGACACTCAACATACTGCAGTACAGGCAATAGCACTATTTGTTGAGGAATAAGAGAAGTATTTTTGCTATCAGTGGATATTTTATCATGAAATTATTACTTTTTTATTTCTTTAAAATTTCTTCAACAAATAAGGAGAAATTTGAGAATATACAGGTAAACAGGAGATAGTTGCAAAATACAGGAGTTTTCGTTAAAAAATCAGGAGACTTGTCAGGTATGCATCATCCATCCGTTGGGTAACCTTAACATTGCATGGAAATTTTAAGTCTTTCAGCACACAAGGTGGGATGTGTCCTGTCGGTCTTTTTAAAATCACAAATATTTCTAAGGCAAAAAAGAAAATTTTATTTTAAAAAAATCGGTAAGAAAGATTAATTAATGGAATTTAGTCCATTAATTTTTCTCAAGACTGATTTCAATCCCCAGGACTGATAACAGGTGCCCATGCCTGTCATGCAGCAAGAAATATTTTTTGATAATAACTTAGGAACCAATTTAGTGTCCTCAAAATAAATAACATATTTGAATACAATGTCTACAAATTTTCAAAAAAAAAAAAGCTGATTTTAAGATTTAACAAATTTCTTTTTGTGTTTTAAAGAATTATGAAGTTTATATAACTTTTTTTTATTATTCAAATAGCTAAGAGAAATTTTAGAAAAAAAAATATTAAAAAAGTATATTTGCCATTAGGAGTGCAAGATGCTTTCAAAAATAAAAGGCTATTAACAAGAAAGATAAACAAAACAAGAAAGTGAGTAAAAACAATCAATTCCAAAAATCTTCTTTATAAATGGAAATAATTACTATATAAAAACTAATTGTTCATAATTTGTTACATAAATTTAATCGATTATTTCATTACCTTTTATCCAAAACAGTGATAACTTCCCCAGTTTTATAATGAAGCCATTCTTTTTTGCCCTGGACAACTTCTATTGTATCTTGGATAGATTGCACTTGCTCTGGCTTACACTAAAAGATAGAAAAATTATTATTTTACAAAATAATTCCAGGAGAAAAGATTCTCTTCAACCAAATGCCACTTCCAATGCCTTTTGGTTAAATTTTAAAATGCTTTAAAATGTAACAACAAAAAGTACAGAAAATGTTATTAAATATCACAACAAAAATTTAAAGAAAGTAGTGTGATTGTATACATACATAGCACAATAAATACATACAAAAAGGACAAAAAGAAATAAAAGAGAAAAATGAAGAAAATCAATAAGTTTCATTTACTGTGTATAAGCTGCAAGNTTTAAGACATCAGTCTTAAGTCAATCCATCTTTATTATTTTAATTGAAAATGTTAAGCACTGTTATTGATGTTATAGAAGCAATTTTTTAGAATTAACATTTTGTTTCATTATAGATTTACTCCTTTTATTTATTTTTGATTGATTTAAAGATTTCTAATTGATAATTTTTGAAAATATGTTAAATTGCTAAATCGATTTCCTAGGCAAAAATATTTAGCATCAATACTCATTGTATATACATTTATAAAATAATTTCATTATTTAATCATTTCGTTGAAAATACTCAATTAAATAATCAATTTTATTTTAAAAAAATATTAAAGGCCATTCACTTATTTACATATCTTTATAAATTCTGTATGATTAATATTATTAATCTTGTTAATGTCTTTTTTTTTAATATGCTTTTTTAAGTACCTTCAATATAAATCTAAAAAATACACTTTCTAACCTTTTTAAATAATATTTACATTAATTATAGTTTGTAATTAAAATTTTGTTACATAATTAAAAAAAGTAATTATTAATTTAAAAAATAGAATGAGCCACTCATTGATTATATTTGAAAGTGGGTATAAATTGTTTTTATAGTTTCTATAGAATCATAAAGAGAGTGCTTTGTCTGAATCTAGTTATTTCATCATGATCATGTAGTCACTTAGATATGATTTTCACAAACCTTTCAAGATCCATTTTCCTACTAGAGATGAATGATTTAATTCCCCTCGGTGGCTTAAAGGCAACTTTCTGGTATAGTACACTGATGGTTCAAAGATTGATCCCCAATCAGGAGTAGGAATTTATTGCTCCAATGATGGTACCAAACTTCACTTTCCCTTGGGAAACTATGCCACTGCTTTTCAGGCTGAGGTCTATGCCATTATCCATTGCTGCAAGATATGCTTAGGCAGGGGATATCGAAATATGACTATCCGCATCTGTTCTGACAGTCAGGCTGCTCTCTTATTACTGTCAAAGTTCAAATTCACCTCTTTGCTAGTGTGGGAATGCTTCTCTGCGACCTATCTACTCATAACAGGGTATACCTGCATTTAGTACCTGGACATATGGGTATTGGCTGAAATGAGCTAGCTGATGAAGCAGCAAGGGCTGGCTCTAATGCAATTTTCTGGGGCCCTGAACCTGCACCGGGAAGTTCTCCCACCTCATTTAGGGCATCCATATTCAAGCTCTACGGCAAAATTGCCCATGAGCAATGTCGCTTTTCTGACGGTCAGAGACAAGCTAAGGAGTTGAATCGTGACTGTCCTAGTGTACGTCAAAAGGAGCTTTTAAAGCTTAATAGAAACAGTCTATGGAAGATCATTGGTCTTCTTACTGGACACTGCATCCTCAGGAGACACCTATACATAATGGGAATTGAATCCAATTCTCTTTGTCGAGGTTGTCATCTTGAAGAAGAGACATCACGACATATACTTTGTGATTGTGAGGTCTATTCTGCTCAAAGATTTAAGCATTTAGGGCTGCATTGCGTCAAAACTTGGAAACTGCAAGATGTTCCTGTAAGGTGCTTGCTGAACTTTATTTCATCTATAGGGCTTTCATGCTAATCATGATTTAGGGTTTGGGTTTGAGTACAATAGACCTCTGGTCAGTGTGCCCTGCTCTTTGGAGCTGCCCAACCTCTAAGTCTAAGTCTATGGTCATGTAAATTCTTTGAAAATTATTTTCCATTATGTTAATATATATATTAACAAAATGGAAAATAATTTTCAAAAACTTTACATGATCATGATAAAAATAACTAGTTTCTGACATATATATATATATATATATATATATATGTCAGAAACTAGTTATTTTTATCATGATCATGTAAAGTTTTTGAAAATTATTTTCCATTTTGTTAATATATATATTAACATAATGGAAAATAATTTTCAAAGAATTTACATGACCATAGACTTAGACTTAGAGGTTGGGCAGCTCCAAAGAGCAGGGCACACTGACCAGAGGTCTATTGTACTCAAACCCAAACCCTAAATCATGATTAGCATGAAAGCCCTATAGATGAAATAAAGTTCAGCAAGCACCTTACAGGAACATCTTGCAGTTTCCAAGTTTTGACGCAATGCAGCCCTAAATGCTTAAATCTTTGAGCAGAATAGACCTCACAATCACAAAGTATATGTCGTGATGTCTCTTCTTCAAGATGACAACCTCGACAAAGAGAATTGGATTCAATTCCCATTATGTATAGGTGTCTCCTGAGGATGCAGTGTCCAGTAAGAAGACCAATGATCTTCCATAGACTGTTTCTATTAAGCTTTAAAAGCTCCTTTTGACGTACACTAGGACAGTCACGATTCAACTCCTTAGCTTGTCTCTGACCGTCAGAAAAGCGACATTGCTCATGGGCAATTTTGCCGTAGAGCTTGAATATGGATGCCCTAAATGAGGTGGGAGAACTTCCCGGTGCAGGTTCAGGGCCCCAGAAAATTGCATTAGAGCCAGCCCTTGCTGCTTCATCAGCTAGCTCATTTCAGCCAATACCCATATGTCCAGGTACTAAATGCAGGTATACCCTGTTATGAGTAGATAGGTCGCAGAGAAGCATTCCCACACTAGCAAAGAGGTGAATTTGAACTTTGACAGTAATAAGAGAGCAGCCTGACTGTCAGAACAGATGCGGATAGTCATATTTCGATATCCCCTGCCTAAGCATATCTTGCAGCAATGGATAATGGCATAGACCTCAGCCTGAAAAGCAGTGGCATAGTTTCCCAAGGGAAAGTGAAGTTTGGTACCATCATTGGAGCAATAAATTCCTACTCCTGATTGGGGATCAATCTTTGAACCATCAGTGTACTATACCAGAAAGTTGCCTTTAAGCCACCGAGGGGAATTAAATCATTCATCTCTAGTAGGAAAATGGATCTTGAAAGGTTTGTGAAAATCATATCTAAGTGACTACATGATCATGATGAAATAACTAGATTCAGACAAAGCACTCTCTTTATGATTCTATAGAAACTATAAAAACAATTTATACCCACTTTCAAATATAATCAATGAGTGGCTCATTCTATTTTTTAAATTAATAATTACTTTTTTTAATTATGTAACAAAATTTTAATTACAAACTATAATTAATGTAAATATTATTTAAAAAGGTTAGAAAGTGTATTTTTTAGATTTATATTGAAGGTACTTAAAAAAGCATATTAAAAAAAAAGACATTAACAAGATTAATAATATTAATCATACAGAATTTATAAAGATATGTAAATAAGTGAATGGCCTTTAATATTTTTTTAAAATAAAATTGATTATTTAATTGAGTATTTTCAACGAAATGATTAAATAATGAAATTATTTTATAAATGTATATACAATGAGTATTGATGCTAAATATTTTTGCCTAGGAAATCGATTTAGCAATTTAACATATTTTCAAAAATTATCAATTAGAAATCTTTAAATCAATCAAAAATAAATAAAAGGAGTAAATCTATAATGAAACAAAATGTTAATTCTAAAAAATTGCTTCTATAACATCAATAACAGTGCTTAACATTTTCAATTAAAATAATAAAGATGGATTGACTTAAGACTGATGTCTTAAAGTAAAAACAAACACAAGTTTTGTTTTATTTAATTTTGTTTAAAATTAAAAATGATGTAATATTTATTGGTTTAAAAATAATAATAAAACTGTAACAAAATATTTTGCATACATGCAATAAAAGTTAAAAAAAGAGTAAAAGACAGATCAAAGAAATGTTCACTTAAGTAAAACATTTTTTAAATTATTTGTAGATAAAAAAATGCGCTTTTGAAACAGCGTTAGACCTTCTTTTACTTTTTTGTTAAAAATAATAAAGTTGTATAAAGTAATGGTCAAATGGTCTTAACAAATGTAAGTTTTTAATTTATTTATTACTTTCTTTTTTGAATACAAAATAGACTAAAGATTTATTAGTTAAAATCGGTTAAAGATTTATTGGCTGACTCAAACAAACATGTATTGAAAGAATTATAAGAAAAATTAATAATAAAATACTATATTTAATAGCACTATTGTTAAATTACTAAAAAGCGTCACAACATTGCTTAACATTTTATTTAATTAAAACAAAATTTAGAACTAATAATAAAAAATCAATATTAATGAAAATATACATAAAATGGTTAAAATTACAGATGTGAAAAAGAAACAAAACAAAAAACATTTCAATTATTAATATATTTAGTCAAAGTTTTTCTTTTTTACTAATGTGTTATTTAATATAAATAATCTTACATATTTTACTATAAATTCTTATTTATTTTACTATATACATATTTTTCCTAAGTTCAGAAAGTCTGAAATTCCACCAAAAGTTGGGAAAATCTGAAACTTGTTTAAAAAATGCAAATATTTTGTCAAAATCAACTGATTCAAAAATATAAATTATTACTTGCTGTCCGGTCAAAGCAGCCCAAGGTTGAAATCCATAGCTGAACATTTCCCATAGTGTCACACCATAAGCCCAAACATCACTGGCTGATGTGAAACGGAGATAGTTGATACATTCAGGGGCACACCTAACAGTGCAACATTCATTAAAAATAAAATCCACAAACACAACTGCAATTCAAGTATTGAGAGAGAGATAAGAATAAATTTCAGGTGAAGAAATTAGGGAAGAATAATTAATAAGGTATAGTTTGTCTATAGTAAGAGCTCTTCTTGCTATTCGTGTGGACCATGCGGCGGTGACTATGGTAACGAGGTATAAATATTTCAAGTAGAGGTGTGTGGTCATTGTTCAGGACAGTTTTAAGCTTGGGTCAGCAAGAGAAAGAGAATCTTTTTCTTCCGTCTATTGTGTTAGCCCTAGAGTGAAGAGAATGACCCTCCCTGAAATGCGCCATTCTTGTTTCCATAGTAGCAGATGGCCTCACACTTTGTGGAGGGGGAGTTCTTATTATAGACAAACAATACATTTTCCTAAACATGTGAACATTAAAACAATAAATTAACTTTAATTAATAAAACTACTCAAAAGCAATAAAACAAATGTCATTAGAAAATATTAAAGAGACAATGTTTAAAACATTTACTTTCCCTAACTTTATACCACAAATTAGATTCACACTCTCTGACAGATAGGATTTTAATGCAGAATTCATATTCACACGAATTATACACAGAATTGCAACAATTGCATAAAAAAAGGAGGCGGAAAATGTTTTATTAGAAATGACAATTCTTAATGAAAACAAGTTTAAATTATTTGCAAGTAACATTTAGTCTTATGAAAGTAAGAAACATGGCTCGCATCAACAACAGTGATGATATAAAGTATCCTCAGTGGTAGACGGATCAGGGGTTAGAATCCCCTTGCCGTCAAGCTAATGGGGGGAGATTTTCGTGGTTTTCCTCTCCATGTAACATAAATGTGAGTTAGTTCCATCAAAAAGTACTCCACGAAGGCAGCTTTCTCCCAATACTAGATCCAGGAGTTCCTTCGTCTTCTGGATTAGGTTCAAAATTTCAAGGCTACGAAGTTGAACATCAGTAATCGTAAACACAAAAAGGGGTTGGCCGTTCAATAACGGTTGTAAAATTATAAGTCAATAATAATGTCGTCAAAGTATCGCAAGTCAGTAAAAATGTTGTCATTTAATTATGAGCCACTACAAGAAATTATAAAAAACGTCAGATAACTGAGCTCATCTGAGAGCTGTGTCAGATAATTAGGAATCTACTGCATTTTACTTACTAAATTACAACCAGTAGGATTATTTTTTTTACACAAAATCAAATACACAAATCATACAAATGGATTATCACACCAGTAAACTAAGCCGAAAAAAAAAATCATATACCGACTAAAGATTTCTAATATTCTGCTTAAAATGACTTTTTTTTGTCTGTACAATCTATTCTCTATAAAACTATAAACAAATTAATAAAAGATAAGTACATGTTTTCTTACCATGCAATAGGTAATTTCAAATTAACATTGAAGTTAGTTTGATAATAATCTTTGCCAACTCCTAAAGCCCTAGATAAGCCAAAGTCACTAATTTTGACCTAGAAAATAACAGACTTCTTTTACAACAGAGACCAATACATAAATTTTGCTTTGAAAAAGATTTATGCGAACAAAAAATCAACCATTTACAAATTACTAGAACTTCTTAACATAAAAAATTTAAGTTCATTTTCAAAATACAACAGCAGGTTTTAAGTAAAATTTTAAGCTCACTTTAATTATGACTAAATAAAGTAGAACATAGAAAAAATATTGTAATCAACTGAGACAGGTGACTGCTTCTCGGCACTTTTTCCAACTTTTTACTGAAACGAAATGCTGAGAAAAAAAGAAACAAGATTTGCCAAATTAATCATGGTAACCGAGAGTGAGAAAGTGTGCAAAGTGGGAAAGTATGGGGAAATGAACGCAACCATGAAGGGCCTACTCTATGCATTAAGAGTATAATAAATGTTGGATTAATGTTAAGAAGCCTATATAAAACCACGTGATTGTGAATATATTTTTAGTTATTTGTATTTAACTTGGAATTTTTCCTAAACTGTAAAAAAAATTATTATATGTTAATCTATCTGAAAAAAGTACGACTCATTTGGGAAATTTTACTTACTTTGAACGTGTTTTAAAAACAGTTCATTAGTTTAAATTATCCAAAATTGTAAAAAAACAATTCAACTAGGGTGAGTAACCAAATCTTTTAACAAAAAATAAGTACATTTAAAGACATTTTAAACACTCAAAAAATATTTTTAAGCACTATATACATTAACAAAATGCAAAATAATTTTCAACATGATCAGGATAAAATAACTAGTTTCTGACATAACTTTTCCTGATTATATTAGCCTCCATAAAAAGATCGAGATTTTTTGGTTCAATAACAGAGAGTGGAAAATGAAGGCTGAAATTGAGAATATCTTGCAAGCAAACTTGCACATGGGAGTGCAAGAACCTCACCAAACCCAGCACAGTAAACGCACATGCAGACTCTCAAGTATTTCATCAAACATGTAACATGATTGACGCTGTCATACATTACAGATCGAACGGACACATGAACGAATTGTGAGAACGTTGAATGTGAAAATCACAGTTTTGCATAATACACAGCAAAAATTGCACTAGAAAGAAGAAGAAAAATATCATTTTCGAAAAGGGAAAATTAAGCACTTTTTAAAAACACACTAATAAAAAAAGCAACTTTAAGGGCTTTTAAAAACGAAAATAAGCACCTTTAAGCACTTTTTAAAAACGCTACACATTATGTTAACTTTTCTTATATGCCTTCACATGAATTACAAAATTGCAGTAACTAACAGATGTAAACCATTGAAAAGATCAAAAAACTGATAGGAGCAAATAATGTTTTCCCAAAGAAGTTTACTCTTGGAAAAAAATATGTCAAGTAAATAAAATTTATTAATCCCATCACTTAATTTCATCTCATGAGCACATGATCATCCCCCCATGGCAGAATCGTGGCGACATTGTCACATAACATTATAGAGCTCTTGCAGAAAGATATTTCCTTTGTGAAGTAAAAAAAATTTGGTTTTCTTTTCTGCAGAAATTTTCAATCCATTTTTTTATTTAGTTATTACTATTGATTTCCACATAGTTTTTAAAAAACCTATATTTTTAACTTGATATTATTTATTTCAACAACTGAATCTTGAAATGAAAACACGCATTTAGTAACACCCTTTTCGAAGAGTCTGATTAATGTAAATTCGCTCTTTTTTCAGTAGTTGCTGCGGATTTCGCGACTTTTTTTTATTCTTTTCTTAATGATTCATTGATTTAATGATAATTTACAAAATGCGAGAAAAGAAATTATTAGTTTGTTTTCCCTCTCCAAATGAGAGAATATCGGCCACAATATTAAAATTAAAAAAAAAAAAAAAATTACATATTCCATTAAAAAAGTTATGTTATGCTGTTTTAGCAAAAAAGTGTTTTTTTTTATTTATTTTAAAGTTGAGGTTTTTGTTATTTTAAATTAGTAACATGTATAGTTGTTATTTTTAGAAGTATCTTGCAAAAAGACACTAGTATTAGAGAGGCATGTCACGACAGAAAGCCCGAAAAAATTCTGCCACAGGGATCATTACATGCCCAAGTTTACGCCCGGCTTCTCCCACACACACTGGCACTCTGGAGCAGGAGAGAGCTGATTGAAATTCGGATTGGGAAGCATGTTGTTCTTTTTTGTTTGTGTCCCTCAATATTTTGAGTGTTCATATACTTGTAAATAAAATTTAAACTTGAATGTTACACTCTTAACTAAAATTATTTAGATGTTCCATAGAAGTTTATAGAATATTAAAAAGTGTTCCTGTCCTTTGGGTGGAGGTAAGCTATCTCCTTTTTTGATATCTTTAAGAAATATCCTAAAATATGCCTTCACATCAATCATACAATTGCAGAACATAAGAAATATTGTTATGTAAACTATTGAACCGATCATAAAACTGAAAAAGAGCAAATAGAGTTTACTCTAGGAAAAAAACATGTTAAGTAAAATAAATTGCATGTATTATAAGTATTGCAATTAAATTTATTAATCCCATCACTTAATTTCATCTCGTGAACGCATGATCATCATGTGCTCAAGGTTAATTCAGGCTCCTCCCCCACACACTGACACTCTGGAGTGGGAAAGAACTGCATGGAATTTCGATTGGGAAGCATGTTTTTCTTTTTTCTTTGCATCCCTGAATATTTTTTGTGTCCATATGTTTGTAAATAAAATTTAATCTTGAATGTTACACTCTCAACTACCATTGTAGTGTATCTACCACTATAAAAATACAATTCCAATTCCATAGTATATAAGACATGCTAACTTGATTCTATGTCGGAGAACCTTTTCATAGATGAAGGTTGACTATGTCCATATCTACTCTTACCACATTGGTGACCTTCGGATGTGATGTGAACATGTCTACCTTGACTGTAACGCCCACTTCGTTCTGAACATGCTTATTTTGACAGTACCGCCCACTTTGATCTGAACACACCGATTTTGATGGAATGTCCCCATTGAACAGTTGACTTGCTACTTGCGACATTATCCACCTCCTCGCGCTGTTGCTACTCTGTCTCGATCACACACAACATCGGACTGCTTACACTCGCCTGCTAATGGCAACACAGAAGCAACCACGACCATGAACTTAATACAGCTCTCACAATCAGAACTCAAAAAGTATGGTGACCTTAATACAGCTCTCCTGGTTTCTTAGAAAACAGCAATGAATCAACAAGTATCCCATTCATCGAATTCTATCACAGATAAAATTCTGGTGGAAGAGTAGTGTAGTGTATCTACCACTACAAAAATACAATTCCAATTCCCTAGTATATAAGACATGCTAACTCGATTCTATGTTGAAGTACCTTTTCATAGATGAAAGTTGACATGATCAATAACAACCCTACCCACAACCATTATTTAGGAATATTAAGAAGTTTTCCCTGCCTTTTAGTGGAGGTAAGCTCTCTTCTTTTTGATATCTTCTGGTAATATCCAAAAATATGCCTTTACATCAATCACACATTGTAGAACATAACAGATGCTCTTATGTAAACCATTGAACCAATCATAAAACTGACAGAGAGCAAGTAGAGATTGCCCAATGACAGAAAAAAAAACACGCCAACAAATAAAATTGCACGTATATCAATCAAACTCACTTTATTTTTTGCAAAGACGAGAATATTTCTGGCAGCCAGGTCCCTGTGGATTAGCTTCTTATTCTCTAGGTACTGCATACCTTCAGCTATTTGCAGGGCAAAGTCACAGAGGGAGATGACGGGAAAACTCGGACGGAGAACTGGCTCCTTAAGGCACTCCAGTAGGGATCTAAGAGGAGCAAGTTCTGTAACCTGCAGAAATAAGTCAGGAAAATCTTACCAAATGAAAACATTTATAGTACAACAAGTAATTTATTGACTCTCAATTTTCAGGATATCTGCTAAATTTTAGATTTTCAAATTCATGACTTACCATGACTAATTCCAAGAATTTTTCACGACTTAGCGAAATTACTATTTTCTGAGACAAAAACACAACAATAAATTTAAAAAAGCATTATAATAACATTAATTGAAATGATAGGTATAACCAAAACTGTTATAATCAGCATCTTCATATTTATAGATTTTAAATTTAAAAAACAGAGTAAAGAAAGAGTTGAAGCAATAAAATAGCTTAAAAAAATACAAATGCAAGAATTTTTTTTCCAAAAATTATTCTACAGATACTTTTCTAATATTCTAAATAATAATAAATAATCTAAATAATTCTAATACTTTTCTAATTATAATATTCTAAAGATACTTTCCTTGTTCATTGGGAAGGAAAGAAATACTCCTGATTTTTCTGTTCACATTTCGGACTAAAAATAATTTGCCAATGACTGGCTAGCTTCGGCTAGAATTTTAGACTGATAAAATAAATAATAACAAAAATTATGCAATCATAGAAGTTTAAAAGATAATTTGCTCTAGAAATAATGTTTTTTCTTTCATTTTTTGGAAAGAACACCATAATTTTTAAAGAAAATGATAAAAACATTTTATATTTTAATTAAATATGACTGTGAGTGGGGATTTCGTTACAAATTCAGATATTCTGAACACCATGAAAATGGGGGGGGG